TGACGTTCTCTCGGTACATAAATATATGACCTGGTTGGCTCTCTGCTCATGTTAGTAATTGCTGCAATAGTCTCCTCATGCTTTCTATTAAGTTCTTGAATTTCTTCGTGCATGTCATGCCTATTCTACTTGCACCATGTTCATCCCCATACTCATCACCCTGTAAAACCTGAGCCTCATCTGATTGTGACATTTTATAAAATTTTCTTCAGTTTAACAAAATGAAAACAGTTGTTTTGGTCAAAAATAGTCTCTGAATCAGTTCGAAATCGTTTTAAAGTCAAAGGATATGTTCTCAACTGTTCATAGAATACTTCTGTCTTCCCTTTCAGACAGTCTCTTGATAGGTGTCTCCTCAGAAAGCATGCTGCAGACCTCAGTGGATAAGGCACTCTCTTCTTCCTTTCACCTAGCAGTATCGTCACCTCACCAGGTCATCTCCAGCCGGCCGACGTCTGTTCGCTGGACAACTGCACCCAGGAAGTTAGCCTCCACTCCGTTTTCCACTGGCACCTATCTTCACCTCTACCGTATTTCAAAATGAATAAAAAAATAACCTATAGGCTCCCTACAGTCAGATACCCCACTCCTGGTACCAAAATGTGGCCTATGGATTCTAAAGAAGCAGCACAGGATACACAAAATATCTTCTAGGGGCTTTATTCTGACGGCTGTCTCTCAGAAGGACAGCGATCGATGGGAGTAAATAACAGATAAAAAAATAATTAATAAAATAATGTAAATGTTACGTCTCTGTTGTGCTTATTTGACAAAACAAGAGATTAAGCACCGATTTCAAAATCTGATAAATTCAGTACAGGAAGGGTCACAACCTTCATACAAATTCAGTGTTCAGATATCGGAAGATTCAGTCTCTCTGAATTGCACTAGAATGAAATTAAATACGGTAGAGGCTAATATTTGAATAAAAGGAAAACAGTACATTAGCCTACTTTTGAACCCCACAGTTTTCATGAAAATACATGTTGAGTACAAAAACAATCTTTCAATACATTCTAATCATTTTATCAAGGTATGAAATGTTTTAAGAACACTCATAACTGTTTTTTAACATACATATTCCAATGTAACAGATTCAACTACAACCAGGCAAATGCACTGGGCTTTAAAGAAGAATTAAAACTTCATTAACATTCATTGTACATACCCAGTCCTTGCACGTGTCCCAAAACGTGATCAAACCCGATCCACCTCACACATGCAATCCATAAATGTCCTTAAAAACGATCCGTGAAACATTTATTATTAACATACTATGCTCACATACACGTTATGAAATTCGTTCACAACTTCTGTAAAAATGTACATTTACCTCGCCAAATTCAGAATAATGGCACCAAACCCAGAGTACTAGTATGCGTTTGCTGCTCTGCTCATACTGAAATCCACGCACATGTATTACATGCTGTAAAGCAAGTGTTGCAAACTCAGTATCTTAAAGGACCCACGCCCAATTTATGCTCAATGTTAAGTTTTGTTAATTTTCTCCACTTGGCTACATTCTCCCCTGCTAAATGTCATTGTCCTCAATGA